AACCACCATGGATGAGAAGTGTAGAGGGAATTGAATTATAATTAGTTAAGAAGTCTCATCAATCCAGTTGAATGGCAAGATCAGGGTCGCACTCAGGAAGACATTATTGTTGCTCTTGGGTGAAATATATATATATATATATATATATATATATATATATATATATATATATATATATATATGGGCACGCTCTCATGCGAATGGTTGTCCCGGAAATTATGGAATTTCTGATCACCTGAAATTGATTTTAAATCAAGTGGAAAGTCTTGTTTCAATCACTTTTGGTATTCGAAAAAATCTTTGTTGCTATTTCCGACCACTTTTAGCTTTTGACTTAATTTAAGATCACTTTCAGGTGGTCGGAAATTCCATAATTTTCAGCAGACCCCTGTCCATGTGTCCAAATGAACGAATCAAATGTAATTTTAAAAAAACTACAGTGGCATTTTCGTAAATAAAAGATATATGATGGTTTGATAAAAGTGATGTATATATGATGGTTTGATATGAAAACATTGTTGGGGTGGCCTGGCATGGCGATTTCAGCAGAATATGAACCACAAATAGGGCTGTAAAAAAATCATAATGGCAGAGAGCACAATGCCGACAATGGCACGTTGTATCCTTTTCGGAGTCATCATCTACGGCGAATCATAAACAAACTGTAACGTAATTCATCATAGATTCTTTGTTTTGGTGGATGAGCATCCTATCCAATATCCTCATCTTCTATCCATTAATATTCTGGTAATAACAATATCACAACATAGTCACTCACAAATCATTACCCTCTTCTTTTTTCTCTATCTTCTTTTGCATCATCACAACCCACCCAAAACCCCCCACCTCTGATACAAACTCATATTGACTCTGAGTGGTACTTAAGTTCAACCTCTAAGAATTAAGGTATATTGGGGGATTTGAGAGTTGTTTTTTTGGATGACGAGACGAAGGAAATCTGCAGCCATAGAATTAATTTTACAGGACGAAACTAAGCAACAAATGAATGAAAATAAACTAAATCATTAATCCTTAACATATTCGAGAGTGTACATGCTTGAGGTTTCTTTTGGATTGGTTTAATGTTACGTTGTCAGATGGATAGAAACTTAGACCCCAGACACCCCATTTCTTGGCTGCTACGTACTTAAAAGCTAGGGGCTGCGCTGTAGCTATATACCCATATGGTTTGGGCCAAAACTTAAGTCATACTCTGCTTTATCTTTTGAATAGAGTTTCCTCATTCATTCATTATTTCTTTACAAAAAGAAGAATATGGATATTAAAGAGGAAATGTCATGATATGAGTCATGCATGAGAAGAGGAGAGAAAATGAAAAACTCAAGTCAAGTCAGTTAGGTTGTTAAACTCAGTAATTACAAGATTACAAGTTTGATTTTCAAGGGAAAGCAGCGTATGTACTGGCCTTTAATTTTGATTTGAGTTAGGTTGATTTACCTTAGCTTTTTGTGATCATCTGCTAGATAGCTAGAATCACAAGACAATATTTACTTATCAGTACACACTTTCGAATAGTGAGATTTCCCTTTCACCAAAAAAAAAAAAAAAAAAAAAAAAAGAGAGAGAAAATTAAGAGAATAAAGGGAAAGAATAACTGTGTTGAAATGATGATGGCGGTGAGCAGCGCCTTTGCTTTTGGGTTGGCCGCAAGCTAAGTTGGGGTTACAGCTAAGCATAAGCTAGCTGCAAATGAAATGGTTAGTTGTTAATTGAGGGTAATTAATGTACGAAAAGGTGGATAATTGGAGCTTAATGATGGGGTGTTGTTTGTTAATTAGTTGTAATGTGGGTGAAGTGGAATTAAGGGAAAAGGAGGGATTGAAGAGAAATTAATTAATGGGATGCATCATATGATATGATCATATGGTTTTCCTGTTTCTTGGAGATAATCATGTGACGAGGGGGGCTGGGGGGGTCCAGTCCCAAAGAATCATCAAAGTATAGGCACTCCAATGCAATGCTTTAACTTTTGGAGCCGACCAAACTATCATGAAAACCCACTGCGTGCTTTCCGTGTCCAACATTATCGCATTTCCTTAATTTCTACTGTCATGCATGCATAGTTGCATACTACTATTCGTATACTACGTACTCTTTCCTTTCCTTGGTTTGAGGAACAAAGATATATAAGGCCCATTTAAACAAAAAAACAAAAGTTGACATTGAAATATCCCATAGCCCATTCGGTAATCGTTATACTGGAATATAGTCCATATTGTAATATATTTTTAATGTACTTAAATATAATTCACATTGTAAAATATTTTAGTGTACTAAAAATTCATTTTTAGTAAATGATCAATCAACGATCACCTTGTAATATAAATCATGAATCATAGTATAATTTGCCGCATATGTTAGATGGTAAAAAAAAAATCATGGTAAGTATAGCTTTATCCAAAGGTTCTACCTCTTGATTTGCAATAGAGAAATTGAGAAAACACGAACGGGCCGTTTGGTTCACGGAATGAATTTGGAGGGAATAAGAATGTTATTCAATAGGGAATAAAATAGGCAAGGAATAAAATATGAATTGTATTCTGTTGTTTGGTTCGCTAAAGGAATAGACATTGAGAACTGTATTCCAATGTTTGGTTGGTTAAGGAATAGGAATAAAATATATGTTTAAAAGACATAAATGCCCTTGTACAAAAACTATTATTATTATTATTATTATTATTATTATTATTATTATTATTATTATTATTATTATTATTATTATTACAACAACTATTATATATCATCATCATCATTGTCATATCAAGTGATTAATACTCAAAACAAAATAGTCATATAAATAACAAACTTTTGTAAAGAACATTTAACAATATTCAAAAGAAGCATAACATATGTTATTTTTAACAAAATACTCAAAACAATCCAATGCAAGTTACAATGTTCATAAAATCAAACATCAATGAACATGTCCTTAATTTCTAGATGATATCCATTAATTGAACATGTCATTTGCTAATTCTGTCCTCCAATTATTCCAAACTTCTGAAGGCTCTATTTGTGTGACATCATCATCTTCATGTATGACGTTACTTTGTACGAATTCCTCTTCCATAGGATCAACATTCATCTCATTTCTAATAAAATTATGCAGCAAACAACATGCAAGTATAATTCTGTTATGTATTCTAACAGGATAAAATGATGGGCTTCTAAGTATAGCCCATCTCATTTTCAATAATCCAAAACAGCGTTCTATGACATTACGAGCAGCTGCATGTTTCATATTAAAGAATTCTTGAGGAGTTGTCGGTTGATGACCTTGACGCCATTCATTTAAGTGGTATCTTTGACCTCTAAATGGTGCCAAAAATCCCTCACTATTAGCATATCCTCCGTCAACTTAACCCTCCTATAGTTTGTAACATTGCACACAACTTCACAAAAGCATGTCGATTCATCCTAAGTTGAGATATGCATTTTTCATCACACGAATACACAGTTCGTAACATATATTCTCGAGACCCTAAAGTATTTATAATATAAGATTTCACTCGTTTTTTATTAGAACACAAAATTGTCAAGGTTGACATCATCATGATAAACAATAAACTCACAGAAGCACACATATCCAACCATACACGCAATACAGCTACACATTTTTTCCTTCTTTCAGTACGAGTTATTAAACGCAATCGAGCCATAACTGCAAATTTAATTTAAAACTTACAATAACTTATACAGATTATAATAACATTACGGTAAAAAAAATAAACAATAACATTGCTATGGCAAAAAACAAAACCAAATAAACAATAACACTTTTCAGCAAAAAAAAAAAAAAAAACAATAAACAATAAACAATAAACTAAACTAAAAACCAAAAATAAATAAAAAAAATAAAAAACTAAGTCAAGGACCCATCCATTTTCAATTCCTGAGTAAGTATTACAATTCCTAACTAAGTATTACAATTCAGTTCAAGATAAATAAAATTCAATCTTTTCTTTCATTTTCACCAATTTCTATGTTAAAGATTATCTGTGTGTCAACCTTAATCTTAATTAAATAAACTTTGATTGATATTAGATGGTAAATTATTAGATGAACATATCATTATCTGGTATTCCTACCAAATATACCAAATCTATCATTATAGAATCAAACTAATTAAGCTGACTGAGTCTATAACTGCTAACGGAATTCCTCACTTTGGACCTAGAGTCTTTTGTCATTCTATATAAATTTTGTGATAATTACATTAATAATATAATTTTTTTTTTTTTAAAAAAAACAACATTAAACAAAACTGCTGCGGCTGCGGAACCCTCTGCGCCGCAGCAGTGTATATATATATATATATATATATATATTTTACTGCTGCGGCTCGCCGCAGTAGTGTATATATATATTACTGCTGCTGCGGCGAGGCTGCAGCAGTGTATATATATATATATAAATTACTGCTGCGGCGAGCCGCAGCAGTGTATATATATATATATATATATATATATATATATATATATATATATATATATATATATATATATAATATTTAATTGGTAAAAAATAAAATTCTGAAAATTTACCTTTGATGTCGCAGAAAGATTTGCTTGATTTTGATGTTGATGATGCTTTAATTTGATCTGGCTAGAAAACTTGTTTGATTTTGATGTTGACGATGAAGAAATCGATGATGATGATGAAGGAATCATGAAGGATAGAATGATACGTAGGGAGAGAACGGCGAGAAAGATAAGGTTAAAATTGAAAAAAAAAAAAATTCTATTCCTGAAGACTCAGGAATAAGTTAATACTAGGGGGGGCCCTGGTATTAGCTATTACCTCATCTGAGGTAATAGCCTATTACTAGGAACAGTATTCCTAGTAATACACATTGTTACCAAACAGAAGAATAGGTCTGTTACTGGAAATGCTATGACATTCTCAGTCTATTCCGTGAACCAAACGGACCAGAATAGGTTGTAGTAAATTTGCATATTTAAATGACAACTGGCAAGTAACAAAAGAAACTAAAAATGCATCATTATTCAACAATTCTTCAAAAACCAAAATGTAGTTTAATTTGTCTATAGCATCTTAAACACTTTTTTCATCATTATCATTTCAGTATAGGCGGCGGTTTGTTACAGTGTCCTAACGCAATTGCAATCTTGCGATTCTATAATTTACCCATGACAACCTATGCGGAAGGCCACATTCTGTTCTAGCCAACTAACTCAATCCATAATAATTTCCAATGCACGATGATATTGATCCTCACAGTGGTTGTGGCTGAGGATCAGGGGGGAACACTGAAACTAGAAAACGGTGTATCATCTCAAAACTGGTGAAGGTAATTACAGCTGCTGGTGTGGTCCGGATTAAATTGGTAGCACAACCTCGATAAAAACCAGGGATGCCTTCTTGCTGGAAAACTTTCCTAACGCAGTCAATCACACCACTATAGCGTTTCTCCGAGTGTAGGCCCTGTTCTTGAAGCCTTGACCGCACAACCTACAAATTACACTAATCAATTATAATAATACCCAAGACAGACGGTAATTGGTAATGTTTCCTTTCCATTCATTTGTGTCATTCACTAAGAACCAGAAGAAGACAAATAATAAAGGACCAACAGACCTCATGTGGATATGTCATTGTAGAAGCAAATATTTTTGAAACTGATGATGCAACAGCGACATTGCTGGCACTGAGTTTGTCCATACTAGTGTTATCTAATGTCACCAGAAATCAACCAGTGTCAATATTGATCCTTTCCAAGGGAATAATTCAGGAATATTGCTATGGTAACTAGTTCTAAGCAAATGAAAAGGGAAAAAGAAAATAACCAAGTACCCCGATTAGCCAAATATATCTTGATCTTCTCATATGTTGGAAACTGGATAGCAACATGACTAACACCCGCCAGAGCAGGCACAAGACCACTGACAACAATGAAAACATAAGTGATCAACAAGCTTAACTACCTATGTGATGCATAATTCAAACATTCAAATAAAGACTAACCTATACAGCCCACGAATGCCCTCTTCACGAGCTATTCTTCTTAGAGCCGATAATGTACCCCTATATGGCACAAAACCAGCTCTCATTCCTTGAGTCTACAGATATCAGAAACAGATCTTTCAGATCTCTCAATCTTGAAATAGAAACGAAAATGCTACTTCAATTGAGTAGCAAGGATATATCCTCCCCCCCCCCCCCCCCCCTTTCTCCCCTCCCCACACCCAAAAAAAAGAAAGAAAGAAAAGAACCCCCCAAAATATTGTGTATATAAACTTTTCAGCCCTAATTGATTTTCCAGAGGAACAAAATAAAACAAAGTTAAACTCCTCTTGGTAAAAGGGAATAGTAAAGGCCTCATATCATTGTGTAACCAAACTAGTAGATGTCATGGGACATAATCAATTGAGTCAAGGAAACTTGTGTGAAGGACACACACCTGAAGTCTAGTCTTCACAACCCAAAGAGGATTTGTGGCAATTGTTGTTGCAGCCCCAGCACCAGCAGCAGCAAGCATGTTGGCACCAATAGAAAGTTCATGTCTTTCATCTAAAATAGCCAATAAAACACATATTGAGCTCTAAAACAGCAAACAAATTCTTTATATTCAACAATGAAACAAAATTAACTGACCATCAGAGCAAAGAAAAGATTTCAGCTGCTCATAAATAGTAAAATAAACCTGCAGAAGATATGATCATGTGCTGCATTATTTCAGTTATTAACTTCATAATTTCAGGAATATAAAAGAGCGAAAAGGCAGAAGAACAATGAGTGAGAAAACAAAATTAAGAAAGAAGCAAGAATGGGCCAGCCTCACAAAATATATCAGCAAAGGAAAAGTACCACTGTCCACCATCCCATGGTGTTGGGGAAAAACTAATCTGTTACTCTGTGACTATGCTTAATCCTCTCAGTGCACAAGTGTTTATAGGGGGGGTGGATGGCTACCACTCTTACCCAATTTAAAAATGGACAAGAAGAAAATAGTCAGAATAGCTTCAGATCTAAATAAAATTCCTCATTCTTTTATAGACAGTATTTCACACACTACTTTTTTTTTTCAGAAAAAAAAAATATATATGTGAAGAGCCAAAGCATGGTAGAGTCAGATTCAAAGATTGTATGCAGAATTAAACAAAACTCTGTATGCAGTGCAAGAGAAAGCTACATACTGCATAAATTGTAATTTTCTCAAGCTTGATTTCTTAGCCAAACCTCTAGATAAAACAAACAGCATACTAACTTAGGCATATCATCCATGGGAGTGTATGAACAAAGACAGAAGTCAACAAAATGATATTCTAGAAGCACATAGATCAAATTTAGAGAAAAGGTGATAGTATACCGCCCAGTTTGGAAGTAATGCCAGAACTGTTGGAGAAAGCCCACGGTACATCCCCCGCAACCCCTCCCTCTGGAATATCTGCTCTAAGCTACCAACTATAAGACTGCCTGATCAAAACAAATAGAAACGTATTAGATTACCCATCAAATATTACATTGTTTTACTTCTAAATATGCCTGCTGTTTGGAGAGAATTTGAGCCAAAAACCAAAATTAAATATAGCAGCTATTTGGTAGTACCTCTAATGTTAGTATTACCAAGCTTTGGAAGCCCATGAACCTGAAATCTTGTCTTTATAACATCTAAAGGACACACAAAAGTAGCTGCAATTACTCCTGCAAAAGATCAAACTCGCAAATCTAAGCAAACACAAACGAAATAAACATCAACAAACTAGGGAATGGAAAAGGCGGAAAACGAATTGTTTGTGGACCAAAAGGAAAGCGCGAAGTACCGGCAGCGGCGCCTGCGCCGGCATTGCAGAGGAGGCCTTTAGGGCTAGGGCCATGAGCATCGGCAGTCATTGCTAAATCTACGGCGATCGAATCGAAAGAGGGCTGCGTGAGATGATGCTGCGGCAACAACGTCAACGGCGGGAACAATCTGTTTATTGGAGAAGTCCTCTCTGGAGAGGCCAATAGCTGACAACCAGCGTCGCATGGCCAGTCGGTAGAGCTCGGAACGAGCAATTCGAAGGAGCAAACCTATATATCTCCTCTATGACTGGCCTTTTTATCGTCTTCCTCCCCGCAACAACCTGAAGAATTATAATGCCTGCGTTGTTGGGAGTTCGATGCGATCGAGAATCACAAACAGGAAAGCGATCTCACACTAATCCTCATCTGATCTGGGAGGGTAGGTTTTGGATCGAAGGAAGAAAATTATTGTCGACCATTGAACTACTCTCCACCAGACGATTCGCCACAATTTGGGACCCTACTTTTCTTTTATTTATTGTCTTCCTTCTACGGATGCGCAGCTCCCTGCGGGTCTCTATTGGCGGCCGCGCCTACGTGCTATAAAGTCACAATATAAAATTAAAATTTTGTTACTTTATAATATAATAAAATCTTATGGCTAATAATTAGAAAGCCACAAATGTGGTTGGTTGAGTTGATGTTATAATTCTAAAGTATTATATTAATTTAGAATTAGATAATTGGTCCAAATGCAATTTTAAGTGGTTGATTTTATTAAAGTTAACGTAAATTTTATTAACTATATAATAAAAGTACGAGTAAATATCATTGAAATTTTTTATTTCAAAATATATAAGTGTAATTTTTATTAGGGAGAGTGTATTTTTTTTTTTTACTTTTTTGAACTTTAGAGTAATTATAATTGTAGTTTTTTTATGAATTTTTTCAAAATAAAAACTTGAGGGGTGGGATTTTTTATTTTTTTTTGAGTTCTTTATCGTGCAAAATAAATTTTGCTATGGTACCCACCATTTAAAATATTTTCATAAGACTTTTCTTCTCTTTTGTCATGACTTTTTTCTTCTTTATCCGCTTCTCTCTTCTCTCTCTCTCCTAAAATGCCGGTCAAAAATTAAAGAAAAAAATTGTTTATTAATGTTGCTCTTATATAATTTGGCGCACATGATACATATTATGCCAGTTATAATTATTAATAGTCAAGTAACATAAATAAAGCATGTGCAAAACCTATATTAAATACATATAACGTTGTCAAAATATAAAATCCTGGTTAATACACCTTGCGATGATATATTGCTATGACCATTTATGCTATCTTCAAAGACATACTATACGGCTTGTTAGGTTCAACTTTGAAATTTACTAGTTTACAAAAATCTCATAGTTATATGCAATGGCCTTGCCAATATAATTGGCAAGGTTGATAGGGAATATACCCTACTATACTGACTCGTACGTATCGAAAACCTGATCGGATTAAGCTCCATAGGTGGCGAAGGTCAATTGTCGACCTAGTCTAACCCGAATATAATTCTTGATCAACTAGACGTGAGAGATAGACAATCGAACGGCCTGTACGTTGTTGCTCTTAGCCTTTGGTGCCCAGTTCCGATCGGCTGAGGGACCCGAGCCCAATATATAAGCCCTTAAACTCTTAAAGAGGTATATTGATAACCGAGTATGTCAGATATTGACTAGACAAATACCCTTCAACACGTGGATGCCTTATCATTAGATGTCGTGACCGTCCGAGTGCACAGATGACACGTGGCGTACATTAGATGTCGTGTATGCCTTATCATTAGATGTCGTGACCGTCCGAGTGCACAGATGACACGTGGCGTACATGCCAATTTATTGGCATGTGTCCCATCCACTATTCTATAAATGCCACACTAGACGCTAGTAAGAGTGACTTTTGGCTTTCTCTCTAAACTATTAACATACTTAAGACCCTTTGGCTTCCAGTTGCGGTAACACGAGCCCCTATAACCAAGTGCTCTTTACTCAATAAAAGAGACGAATACATATATCCGGTGAAATTTACCGCATCAGGGATTTTTGCTGATGATAGGTACACAAAATTTGTCAATGATACATGTAGCTGGACAAAGCACACATTTTTTTAATAAAAATATATTATACTAGTATAGAGATAATCAATAATGTTAATCTTTCATTCTAGTAGGCATTAGCATTTTAGCATATAACATACTTGAGACAATTTGATAAAAAAATGCAACTACTATCAATAATGTGCATTATGTAAACCATACTCATGCGGATGAGATTATGATTCAGCAATTCAAATTACATCAGAAGAGGATTACAATACAAAGAGATAGAACTCCCGTAAACAACTCCTAACTAATAGACTAGTAACATAAGACTAAGCCACAACCACTAGAATAATAAAGGAAATAATAATAGCAATAATAATAATACTAACACACCCCCTCAAGCTTAAGGTGGGTGCGAAAAAACATTAAGCTTGTCACGAAGAGCAGCAAACCGCGGGCCTGGCAACGGTTTAGTGAGGATGTCTGCAACCTGATCCTTGGTTGACACAAAGTTAACCCGGAACTCACCGGCGGCAACCTTGTCACGAACGAAGTGAAATCAATTTCAATGTGCTTAGTCCTGGCGTGAAACACCGGATTGGCACAGAGGTAGGTAGCCCCCAAGTTATCACACCATAGAGCCGCTGGTTCACCAGAATGTAAGCCCAGTTCACGCAGAAGAGAAACAACCCAAGTAACCTCAGCTGAGACATCGGCTAGGGCCTTATACTCTGCTTCAGTAGAAGAGCGAGCCATCGTTCGTTGCTTCCTGGAGAGCCAAGAAATGAGGTTGGAACCCAAAAAGACGGCGTACCCACTGGTGCTCTTCCTGTCGACTTGGCAACCGGCCCAGTCTGAGTCTGAAAAGGCATGAACCGTAGTAGAGTCGGAGGCAGTCAGACGGAGCCCAAAGTCCAACATGCCCTTGATATACCGTAACACACGCTTCAATAAAACCCAGTGATCAACCGTCGGAGAGTGCATAAACTGGCAGAGCCGATTAACGGAATAGGAGAGATCTGGACGTGTGATGGTGAGATACTGCAGTGCCCCAACTAGGCGTCTGTACTGCGTGGGGTTGTCATATGGTTGGTCGGAGGCCGCAACTGGTTGACTGACGGCAGCAGGAGTAGCTAGAGACTTACAATCAGACATTCCAGCCCTATTCAACAGATCCCTCATGTACCGGGTTGCGAGAGTAGGATCCTGTTATCATCTTTGAGCGTCTCAATGCCAAGGAAGAAGCTGGGGTACCTAGATCCCGAATTTTGAAAGTAGCTGATAGTCGATGAAGAAGGGTGTCGATTAGTGCTGCGTCATTGCCCATCATAATGATGTCATCAACATACACGAGTAAAAAGACCCGTGCCTGTCCAGCTAAGTAGTGAAAAAGTGAGACAGAGAGTTGCGGCAGGGAAACGGGTGTGCCGATGACAGTGAGCGAAGCAGCGAGGGCTCGGAATTCTGGACGTAGCCCCCTGAACACATACATGTTCTGCTCGTCCAAGGAGAGAGGCCGGCCGGCAAGCGCAAGTACTTCGACAAGAAGCTTAGCACGGCCGAGGAATTCCGCCGGCGTGCTGTTCCCTTGGCGAATGTTCTGAAACTGTTCTAGGAGGTTCAAACAGCGCGCTCGGGTAGACGAACCAAGAGCCGCCGTGATCGACTGCCACACCTCGCCGGACGTCGTTCTCCCCACTGCAAGGTACATCACTTCGTCCGACAGAGAAGAGATGAGCAGTGAGAGAATACATTGATCTTTCTGCACCCATGCAGCATGAGCGGGATTGGCAGCGGACACCGTCGTTATCGCGGAAGCAGACTCACCGAAGATCACGGTTTCGACGGTGGCGGGCGGACATGGGGTGGCACCATCGACATAACCCAATAGTCCTTGTCCACGGAGAAACGGGACTAATTGAGTGCGCCAAAACAGGAAATTGCGTGAGGTTAATTTTATGGAGATGAAATGGTGGGCTGAGGAAAGGGAATTTTGGGTGGGAGATGCGGTGGTGACAGGAGCGGCAGTGACCGTCCGTTCAGAAGAATTCGTCGACATTGTTGTCGGGAAGGTTTGGCGAGGAAGGAGGTAGGATCGGATGGCTAGCTGATACCAGATGAGATTATGATTCAGCAATTCAAATTACATCAGAAGAGGATTACAATACAAAGAGATAGAACTCCCGTAAACAACTCCTAACTAATAGACTAGTAACATAAGACTAAGCCACAACCACTAGAATAATAAAGGAAATAATAATAGCAATAATAATAATACTAACAATGCGTAATAACTCATAAATCACACATAAAAAAAACATATTAATAAGATTATAGTCACCATACTCAACCAAAAATTATTTACATTATGTAATTATGTGTAATAACTCATAAACCCTACATAAAAAAACATATTTTTTTTTAAACCAAACAAACCAATTTCATTAAATCAAATTCGAAATACAAGGAGGAGGGACAGTGTCCCAAACACCAAGGACAGATGAAGAACTAATAAATAAACATGCTAAAAAAACTATATTCAGCAGACTCAATAAAAAATAAAACTCCTGATATTAAATACAAAAATTATATTTAAACAGATACTACAATGTAACAGAGTTAGTAACATTTACAAAAAAAAAAAAAATTATGTTTCATCAACTCATTCATCATTTTGGAACCAAACTAACAATTTCGTTCTTCACTACTACTCACCTACCAAAAATAATATGTTTGATTAGTACACGGGGCTCAATTCCGAAATTGTAATTGGTGCACCAATAAAGAAAACCGGTCCAGTCCCTCTTTGTTTATTTCTTCCCTCTTTCCACACCGGCCGTGCACATCACTACTAAAGTACAAACTCTTACTACACTTGACACCTCTAAACAACACAAAAACCTCAAAAACCCTAATCAGGGATATACTCAGCTTTATATAGTAAAATTTTCTATTACTTCATTTCAATCCCATTGACTGTGAATTATAAATCTCATCTCACGTATCTTTGATACTTAGACCCATACATAGACACCCATATAGAGAATAGATTGATTGATTGGTACAGTAGATATAAAATGTCTAATTCTGGAGGCTTTGCTGTGTCCCGGAGCCATGGCGGAGACCGATTCTACAGCCCGCCGGCGATCCGTCGGCAGCACGAGCAGATGCTGTTGCAGCAGCAGCAGCAACAGCAGTTCCAGAGACTTCAGCAGCAGCAGCAGCAGCAGTTGCAGAGAACTGTGAAGGTGGAGGCAGCTGCTGCATCGGCTGAGGTGGGGAATCGGATTGACTTGGACGAGTCGGGGACGGCATTGTCTAAACAGTCAGTTCTTTGCTCTTCTTCTCCCACAGGGCCGCCAACAAACGCCACCAACTTGGATCGCTTGCTGGAATCGGTTACTCCCTTTGTGTCAGCTCAGCACAATTCTGAGGTATGAAAGAGCTAGGGTTTTGCAGCTGGAGAAAAATCGGGTGCCAGTGTCTAATTTGTGAGAGAATGCAGTTTAAAATTAAAATAATTGGTACTCTTTTTAGGGCTTAGAATAAGGTTATGAAAATCACTAACTTTCCATTTGATGTCTTCTTATGTTATCAATTATTGCTCAATTGTCTTTATTCAGTACAAAGGAGACTGCTGGTCTGTTTTACTTTATAGATTAAAATTCTCCCACACTTTTTTAAATTCATAACTAAATGCTGTTTGATTGTTTGAATTTGATTAATATCTTGGCAATTGCTTCTAACTGGCTCTGGTATTGAGAGTTTGTGAGTTGGAATAGAAATTTGAATGAAGATGTATAGTGGAGGGCATGTTCATGGTGCCAACATTTTTTAATTATCTTTACATTTAATTGGAGGCGTTTTGTGTGTTCAGCTTAATGTAAGAGGGCGGAGAACTCGTGAGGCAGATGCAAATGCATATTTTTGCCTTGAGGATCTTTGGGAATCCTTTAGCGAGTGGAGTGCATATGGAGTGGGTGTGCCACTGTTGTTGGAAGGAAAAGACCGAATTATACAATATTATGTCCCTTTTTTATCTGGGATACAATTGTATATAGATCCATCAAAGTCCTCTTCTTGCTTTAGGTAAACTTTTTTATAGTATGATGCTTTTGTAGTTATTTCATCTTCATATAAATATCATTTATGCCATTATTGTAGTCCTTTTGATTTCGTGCTTTTGTTTTTATTTTATGACATTTTATTTGTCAATTTTGTTAATGCCAATTATGGTATGTCAACGCCATACATGCTGATAGCTCACTTCCACCATTCTATATTTATAAGACATTGGCATGCTGGTGGGCATTTTCCTTCATTCCATATATTAGATGCATTTGAGTCATGAGAGGGCATCACCTCAATTGTGGTCAGTTCTTTATTTGTGTAGTTAAATTATCTTTCACCTGAAGTTACTGTTGAGGAATATCATTGTTGCAATAACCATTGCAGCATGATACCTAAGGACTCTTATCTTAGGCATATTTGGAGCTAGACCTAATTCCTAGCTATAGAGTGCTACTAAGTTGCATTAACTTTTGGACATTGGCATGCTAGGTAGTGGAATTAATATTTTCCCAGGAATGAGGTGCTACATTGGAAACAAGGTGATCAATGATTAAACAGTATTTACTAATACCAATGCTGCCTGCTTTAATGCTGGGTTTCATCATCTCTTATGTCAACTTTCTAAAAATGAAAAATATAAATGGTAGTGAAAAATCGAATGCCAGATGAACCTGCTTTGCTACATACATTCTTAGCGTGCAAGTTTGCTGCTAGACTTGGAGAAGTGCCTAATGTGCTTCAGTGTAATACTGGATTATTTCTCAACTTTAGGAACTCTTTGGGTTTCTCAAGTGGCTAGAGGAGCTTGTCACTTGATGCAACTTGTAAATACATATTGGTTTGCCATGCTCTTTCAGTACCTTTGGACCTGTTTCCAAGAGAATAGGTTGGTTAGGGAGGAAACCAGGAAGCTTGGCAATATGCTAATTCGTATATTTTCGAGCAGAGTTATGCATTGTGATAACCCTGTGTCAGATAGCTTTGAATTATTTTTCTCCATTTGAGAGAGAAAAGAAATACATCTTGAATGTTCTGCAATAACTTATTTCTTACTTGGATATTATCAGATATATACACGTTGCTTCTTGTGAACATTTGATTATTGTTTCTATAGGAGATCTGGTGAGGAGAATGATGAGGAGCCAAGGGAGATTAGTGGAGGCAACAGTAACTGTGAAGCAGATAGGCAATGCAAATCTGCTGCTGATGGGAAACTAAACAGAATCTCATCCAGAGACAAACCTGGTATGTGCTTGTCTGGTGATGAAGGTGAAAATGGCAAATCCAATGGGCAACTCTTATTTGAGTATTTGGAACAAGAACAACCACATCATCGTAGACCATTAGCTGACAAGGTAAATACCCTTAGTAGAGTTTGATGAAACAAACCATGTCTCTGCACTTCTGTGTCCTGAGATGGTATTCTCAATCTTGCTCATGTGACAGATAGCAATTCTAGCATCTCAATTTCCAGAGTTGAAGAAGTGCAGGAGCTGTGATTTAATGCCATCAAGTTGGATTTCTGTAGCTTGGTATGTTCTGATTGCTGCAAAGAGGAGAAGGATATTTGCAAACTATTCAAAATTTAGTTTACTAAAAGATTAATTGCAGGTATCCAATATATAGAATACCCATAGGCCACACGCTTCGGGATCTGGATGCATCTTTTTTAACTTTTCATCCACTGTCCACACAACCTATAGGTGCCTCCCTCCTCCCTGTAATTGTATGTGCATGCAAACTCATTTTCTTCAGTACCAGATTGCTCTATCTGCTTCTCCTAAAGCAACCTTACTCATCTTCTTCGCACCAGGTACTGTTACACCACAACATTATGGTGCAAGAGATGGGAAAGTATGCAGCATGGTTGATGCTGCTTCAAAAATTTCTCTACCAGCTTTTGGCCTTGCTTCATACAAACTTAAGGGCTCACTTCTGAGTCCATGTGGACAGCATGAATCTGAGCAAGAAAACACTCTTTTGCAAGTTGCCGATAGTTGGCTTGGGATGTTGCAGGTTATTCTTCCTGATTACCAGTTTTTTCTCTCACATTATTCTCAAAGGAGATGACATCCCAGGAAGTTGATTGTCTGCGGACATTTGAACTCCTTAAGATGAAATATTGAAGTTCCAAGTTTGGTGGCAGTCTTGAGATCAGCAATAGCCCAGAAAACTTCCCAGAACTTGGGAAAAAATAGAAGTAATGCTGTGTCCTTTAATCCTTGTTTTTAAATGCCAGAGAAACTTTCAGCAGGTCTTGATAACTCGCCAAGGATGATAATGTTTGATTGGTGATTAACAGTTTGATATACCACACTTTGCACTTCATTGCCTCGTTTTGAGGTATGGGAGATGAAATTTTAGAGGTATTGGCTTGAAATCAGTTGATGCCTTGGCTATATTGATGTCTAAAGCACATGTTAGAATGGCTGACATATTTTAGCCAGTAACATTAGTTCTTGGGGAACTACCATGATGATAGTGACGAAAATTTTGAAACACTGTACTCCTATACTGCATATACAGACTTATACTTGTGATAGGGTGTTGTAACAAGTGCTTCTGACTATAAAATGCTTAGATAAATGCCATATTATTGAAATTTTCATTTTTAGATGCACTGTGTTGCAATAAAGGTTTAAACGGCTTGAAGTTGTGTGATTTTGTTTTGTGGTTTTAGTTCTCATGAGAATAATGAATGATTTTGATATATGAAAAATCTATAGTCGATACCTAAATGTGTGTTGATTGGCTCAAATAGTTAGCTCTTACTAAGGAAGTTGAACTTAAAATCTTGTAATTATTAAGCAAACTGTTCAATCAACTTGATTGAGGTTACCTGCCTTCGAGAATAATGGTTCACTACAAAATGTTGTGTGGTATAATAAGGGTATCCACACCACCATTCACTCTTAGAATTCTACTCATCTTCTTGCATGATGTAAAAAAGGCTCAAACAATTAATTAAGCTAGAAAAACACAATTTCCATTACTCATCATTAGAAATGGGAATGTTTCTACATATCAGAAACTGCACCTTAACTTGCAACATCAGCTAAGATTTTTATGAAAAATTAAAATTTGATCTAATAAGTGCGAGGTAAATTTGGTTTGAAGTCCAAATCATGTCTGTCCTATAACAATAGAGTACATCTCTCAGTCACATATACATTCATTCAGACACTGCTACAGCCAAAAACAGAGCAGGGCAGCACAGGACTTGGGGGACTTCTTGAGTTCCAGCCGACTACATTTAGTTTAATTGAATACCTGTCAGATTCAATGTTATTTGCAATGTTTGTTGCTAAATCATCTGCCTAGTTAGCGCACAGCTTTCATCAAGACTTCCCCGGCTAGCATGTAAAAGACTGCTGCAGGCACAGCATTGTCCTACTCATAAAAAGTCATCCAAAATGGTCGAGAACAATATCCCGCTCACGAAATCACACCTTCGGACCTTCTCCGCTTGGTCCTCATCCACTGGGTATGCTTGGGTGCTTCTGTAAAGAGTTGAACAGAACCCAAAATAGATGATTAGTGCAACATACAGAATTGCAGAAAGTCAAATGCAATAAGTTCTACTAAGTTGTAATAGATTTACAGCATGTTTGGTTTATGGAATAGGTCAGAAATGGAATAACATTCCTAGGAATAGACCTATTCCATTGTTTGTTTTGACCATTTTTTCTTGGGAATAGCATTCCTTCCTAGGACTCTTGTGCATTCCGTGAACCAAACATGCTGTTAGAGATAATGACTGAGAAATTTGTAGGACTCTTGTCCATGATAATCTCTCTATTATTGCCAAACTAGCAAAAATGATTACTTTCCAGTAGTCCCGCCTTAACTTTTGATAAACAAGATTTTCTAATCAAACCTATCTATATAGCTTATAACAAATGTCCTCAGCAGCATTAACATCAATTCTCAGCGCTTAAATATCAAAAGGAATGGCATATAATGCAATTAAAAAAGTATACAAGCACAAACACTTATGATGAACATATGGATAGTAAATTAATAATGGTTTAACAATAAAGCTATTATCTATTTTATGCATGGTTTAACAGATTTTTTGGTTTGCAGAATACTTCTGGGACATACTGGTGCATTTTAATTTCTAACTCCTTTGCAGTCATGTTAGTTGTGTACAGTGAATCAATCCAGTGATTCAAACACGTGAATATGATATCAGAACTCACAGGGGAATAAATGCTTTCTTAAAGGCGGTCTAAGGACCAAACCGATTTTAACTTCTAATTAGAGTCGTGCCCGTAACCTAGGAATATCAGTATTCAGCCTTTTAACCTAAGGTTATCATGATCACAGGATGTGGCTACAAGAGCAGAAGTTAACTTTGACAAAAACAAAGTTTATTTTTTTTACCTTTCACAAATACTGTTTTCCTCACTTCTTCCATGTAAGCTTGTTTGAGCTGAGTTTTTAGCTTGCAAGGTTTCAACTCTGTGAGTAGACTGTGGACTGTTGACAAATGAAAGCATCAAACGATCAGCATCCGCATTGGAGGATGAATCAGCCCGACTAGACTCCTTGAGGTGAAGATGCAAATTTAAATTCTGTAACTCTTTCCTCAACAAGGATAAGCTTGAATGCGCTCTGGTATTCAGTCTATTCTGAAGCTTCTTTTTAGAAAGAGCTTAAAAACATGTCAAGTTCAACAAATCATAGCCCAGCGTTTCAAACCAAAAAAAGGTGACATTGTTATGTTATACATAAACACACTGGCACATAGAAGGTAGAGAGATACAAATAACAAATCTTTGAAGACAACAGCTAAATCCAAACAATGTTATAGGTAATGTATGCTGGTTCAATGCACAAAAGCAATTTAATCAAAACATTCTACTCAAATATGAAAACAAACATTTAAAACTAAGGATTAAAATGGACAATAAATGAAGGATATCTTCAACAGATCCACGTGTTGTGAAATCACATGTGCAGCCATGTTAATCCCCACATTTGTAGGACAGAGAGGACATATCTGAAGACAAAATTAACTTCATCATTCACAATACAACATAAAGGCTGAAAATTATTGGCACTCAAAAGCTGTTCAAGAAGGAAAATCGATCACAAACAGACAAAGCAGTGACATTTCAAACTGAAATGTTCTAATTTTATGAATCCAACACTGTACCTTATAAAACCATATCATATTAGCCAACATACTTTGATATGATTTCAGCTGGTTTGGTTTTTCTGAATCAATATAAACTCACATTTAAAAAAAAAAAAAATCAAAATGTGAAGCATTCCAGCACTTGGATGCAGTAACTTAAGGAGTATCTTACAAAAAACATGGGAAATTCAGAAGATGGGGCTCAAAATCAAATTAATCCCTTTAATTCAGTTTTCTTGTTTATGCTACCAAAATTGCCTATAAAGTTTCATCAGTTCTCAAAATTAGCTTGTGAGTATGAGGTTCTTCAACCTCTCCCCTGATAAGACAAAAACCCTGTAGGCAAAGTTGCATTACTTTTGTGTTTCAAGAGTTCCCACCTAAAGTCTGTACCCAAAAAAAGTTCTTCTTTCCACCTTTAGCAGATAGAATCAAACTTGTAAGTAGCTAAAGTTACCAACTTTTTCTCAAAATGAATCATGATCTACTTTGCAAAAATTGAATAACTAATCCCAAAAGTTAGAACCTAGCCAAACATCCCAAAATTTAGAGAGGAGATTAAAAGTAAGATAGGTACCCCAGATTTAGTCTCCACGCGATGCTCACTGTCAATATGGCAGCACAATCCGAGGATATCATAGTCATCCGAGCAAAATGGGCACGCCAATTCCGCCTTCCCATCATCGTTATCGTCCTTAATATACTCATCGTCATCATCATAATCTTCCTCCTCTTCCTCCTCCTCCTCCACCTCCTCTTCGGTGTCTTCAGTGTCAATGCAACTAAAAGCTACACAACATCTTAATTCAACCATCACATATGCATATACTCCCCCAAATCATACACAACCCAATACTCCCTATCCAGTATAGGCAGGTGAGGGCACTGAACAACTTACCTGGAGGCGGCTGGCGAATAGCAGTCTTGAGAGCAGCAAACAGAATATCGACCTCAGTTTTCCGATCAGCCATCGGGTAAAATACGCGAAATGAAATGAATTTAGGTATATGAAGGAGAAGGAGCAGGAGAAGCCGCCTCTTCTCAAAATCTGGTGGTCGGTGTGGACATGATGATGATGAAGGCGAAGCAAGTAGGTATAACGTACGCGATTTAGTGTCGGACGACTGAGAGAATCGGGTCAAGCTCCCTCCCCGCGTATATAAACCGGAGATGAGAGAAAGGCCAAAGAAATTTCGGGCCGCCACACGGAGTCGAAGCCGATTACCGGATACCTGTAGACTCCCCGGAGTATATTCGTCAACGATCCATTAATTGCCGTATCATCATATATTTAATCCAATAATAAGTTACAAGGGATTGAAGCTAAAGGTGGAGGCCATAACTATGACTCCCTCAAATAAGAAGTTACAGGTTTAAATTTTAATGGAGGCATTGACTCAATATTTATTGTAATAAAGTTAATTGATGTAGAGTATACAAATGATATTCCCTACACTTATAATTCTATTTCAGTTCCGGACTTATATCCTATGCCTAGTCTGCTGGTTGATTTAAGTTCTAGCCTCAGCTACAGTTCCTGAGCAAGTAGATAGTATTATATTCCTGAACACACCGTACTATGTTGCTAGAATCAAGTCAATAGTCTAGTCTCGACCTAAATAGGGCGAGACGTGAACTTTATGCAAATGCTTGGGCCGGCTCCCCAAGGGGGAGCTCGCAGCAAGCCCGGAGGTCGGGTACCGGATCGATGTAGGTCGGATCAGGTTGAACTTGGACGGAGAGTCTGTTACTGATCATTAATGCTACTCACAAAAAAGTTACAAAAGATTGAGCTGCATTCTTGAACCCGAAATCTTGATTTAAGTAATTAGGAAGCAAAAGTTATGCTATTTTATTCCCATTTTCATAGGTAAAGAGTTCATTAATCTGATTAAAAGTAAATGTGTTTAGTTTTTTTTTTTTTTTTTTTTTTTTTTTGAAAACCTAAATGTGTTTAGTTTTTTATGGGCTATTAATTCACTAATGATAAATAATTGAAGTATTAATAATTTTGATCATATAAGTTTAGATTTAATGATGTAAAACTATAAAAACTTTCATTATAAATAGACATGTTTTATTTATCATTTTCATTCGTCCATCTAACTTATCTAATACCGTAGTTCTTTTTAAAAAAGAAACAACTTTTACCATTATTATTCTCATAATAATAATAATGTACCTCTAGGCTCTAGGTCCTTAAATCCTCAATCAAATTTATAGTATCACGACCAAAATTGAAAAGAATATAATATAATCATACGCTTAAGAGTGACAGTGGTTACCAAATTTCGTAAAACAGAAAGCAACAACAATTCCATTTAGTTTTATTGGCATACATTTTAGTTTACTCCGTAATAAATGGTAAAGTCTACAGCACAATACGACAATGTACAAATAGTTGAGACGGGGGCCCGTTGAGTTGTTGACGAAACGTGTCGGGCTGCCCATAGAAACCCAACCGGGCACCCGCGCAAAAACGGAAACTGCGTTCGGTATCGTCAACTTATTCATCCCAGAATTACCAATGTCGATGGATTTCTATTTTGCGCTTTAATTTCTCTTTTGTTCTGGTTTTGGGTGCAAAAAGATCAGCTTTTTTTTTTTTTTTTTTTTTTTTTTTGAATTGTAAATCGGGGGAGGTTGTGGAATTCTTGATCACAGTCATGGCGACGAGAAACAGAAATGAGGTATTCAGAAGGCACAGGAACACTCTGAACCAGAACCGCATTCCATTTACTTCTTCGTCGAAAGCATTCGGCGGCGACGCTCCGGTTATCGAAATGGCCACTTCTTCGTTTTTCAATTCTCGCCGCTCGTACGCACCCCTGAGCACGGAGGATCCCGGGCCTTCCACCTCCAGGTTCTTTTAATTCTTCAAAATAAAAATAAAAAAATCTTCTTCCCATTTGCGCTTGCTGAATTTTCACCATCATGTTGATTTTTATTGGAATGATTTGCAAACAAAATCGAGTGATGATCTTTTAGAAGTTGCACTTTTATGCTCTTATGATAGAAGGCACCATGATCAGCCATTAAACTACTTGCTCAGTTACTTAAGGACTAGCTGAGCCCAATTACATATGATATATGCACATAGGGTGTTCATGAATATGCGCCATTTGTTTAAGAGATTGATTTATCCAATCCTTGTTTTAACTTTCCTATGTTGGTGATAATTTAGTTAACAATGTGAATCAGTTCTTTGGTCTTCAATTTAGATTTGTTATTGGATTGAGTCCAGGAAAGGATGAAATTTGAATGTTAAAAATTGTAAAGAGAGTTTTCGACATTGGACTTATTTCTTGGTTCAGTTATGATGTGCATACAGTGGGTTTAGCTCCAGGTTGGGTAGATATTTCAGAAGAAGTTGCTGCCAACATAAACCAGACTCGAGTTAAAATGGCTGAGTTGGTAAAGGCCCACGCAGAAGCTTTAACGCCATCTTTCATTGATGGAGAAGTAGATCAATGTAGGATAGAGGCTCTGACTCAAGATATTACAGATTTATTAAGGAAGTCAGAAAAGACACTGCAAAATCTTTCTGCTGGTGGACGTTCTGAGGATTCAACTGTCAAACGAAATGTGCAGGTAGACTTTATGATCTGCATCTCTAGTAGTAAAATTTGAGTGAAACATTTAAGCTTGTAAGACAGCTACCTTCCTTCACGTGTTTGGTTCAATCTAAGGGATGTTGATGAAGTGCTAAATCTACAATTCTTCTTATTAATCCTGTAAAAAATTATCATCAGTTGTTGCTCTCGAGGACATGTACATGTCTCCAGTCTCTTATAACCTGAACTCTTCTGTTCATTTTCCTTTGTGGCTTCAAGTACTTCTCTGTTGGAGTCATTTATCTTTTCCTCAATTGTCCCGCTTTTTAGTTCCTTATAGGAGTTTATTTCCTTAAATACTTATTCGATGTGTCATTTTTACAGCGATCTCTAGCTACAGACCTTCAGAACCTTTCAATGGAGCTCCGGAAGAAGCAATCAATATATCTTAAATGCCTACACCAGCAAACTGAGGTTTGTTATTCTTTTTGCTTGTGCATATAATCTGAGTGCATTAGAACAAATTGTAGTTGCATCATTTCACATGCTGAGGCTCCCAAAATTCGCTCCCCCTATCTTTTGGATCCTTCATTCACCTGCAGTTTCCATAATTAAGCTTGTTTTAATTTGCAGATAGCTTATATCTTGGTTTGGATATGTGAAGATTACAGATTGGAACCCTGCACTAGAGCTTACAGTCTTTATTTAATTCTTTGTCTAGGGACTTGATGCGCTTGATTGGAAGATGAACTTGAATGGAACATCCTGTAATGTAGATGATGAAATCAGTGGCATGGTAGACTCTTTTTTTTTTTTTTTTTTTTTTTTAATAAAAAATAAAAAGAAGTTTATGATTAATAGAATACTTAATTTGTGTTTATTAGAGTTTTGGTGCTTATTCAAGAGGGAAAAGAAAAGTGAACAGAATGCATAATACAACGAGTGCCCTTTGATTGATTCTGAATGTTTAAAATCATGGTTTATCATTATCTGGATTGATTTGACAAAATGATATCTTTGCATTTTTTTTTCTCCAGGGTTTTAATGAACATCAAATGGCCAAGCTTAAGAATAACAATCAGTTTTCAGAGGATAGAGAAACAGAGATTAAACAGGTATCTGAAAGGCCTTTTTCTCCCTTTAGTGTTATTCAGATTTGGATTACTCCATCAATTTCTTCACGGATTAATGTAAACTCAATATAGGTTATGAAGTCGGTTAATGAGCTTGCTCAAATTATGAAAGATATCTCAGTCCTTGTGATTGACCAGGTTTGAGTCTAGCAGTCTAGTACTTGTTTATCACTGCAGTAGCTCATACTTCTTATTTGTCGGACTCAACTAGCGCAAATCTCATCAGGGCACAATAGTTGATAGGATAGATCACAACGTTCAAAGTGTTGCTGCATCAGTTGAAGAAGGCACTAAACAATTACGAAAGGTCTTCTTCTGTCTCTTTCTCATATGTGCATGCATGCAAGATTGCGAGCAGATGCATAGAGTATTTTATCTATCTGTGGTTGGAAGAGGCTGGGGTGGTAGTTGCTTGTACCGACTAATATCCAAAACATTCGAATTTATTTCTCCTAATATACTAATGCTTGATTATCGGGGGTTGAAATTTCAGGCAAAGAGAAATCAGAAGGAAGGGGGAATGGTGAGATGTGCAACAGTCCTTTTTATCATGTGCTTCGTCTTGCTTATGTTATTAGTCTTTAAGGAGATACTTGTATGATGTGATTTCATTTTGTCATAGACAATTATATGCAATGAACAGCTGAAATTGATGTAATTCTATAGTTTTGGAAGAATGCAAAACTGTTTCGGCCTAGGTTGAATGTCATTTTTCCAGAAATTTGCAGAAAACTAATGAAAGAATTGAGTCCAGAATGGAAGAGTATGATACAGTGCACATAATTATATCACGAGAACCAACACAGCTAGAACAATGGTGAATGCTGTGGAGACTACTGGCATTCTGTAAGCCCTGCTGGGTAGTGTCACCGGAAGTGAGCATTCCTCTCCATTGAAGAATACCTTACTGGGAAAACCATCACTGCGAGCTACATTGATCCCGGGAGTGTTCTTCTTCTTGAAAGAAATCACTGATTGCTGCGTTCCAGGAACCGGGGGATCTCTCCTTGGATTGTCTCCGTTTCTTTCTGCAAGAAGATAGTTTAATCCCGAACCACCTTGTAAGAACAGGGTGTTGCTGGAATTAGTCATGGGTTGTCCTTGGAAAGAGTACACCTTTTCGAATCCCGGCATGGCTTCTTCAAGCTGCAGAGCTGCAGACCAATCAACAATGTCGTCTTTCCCCCAATTGAACAGCGTTATCCTGGCCGTCCACCCGTCGTCGTAATCGGTAAGCAGGTGCCAGTTAATGCTGACTCCACAGTTATCCCCGCAGGGAAGAGGATTTGGAAGATTACGGCGTTTTAGATCTGCGAACTCTATGGCCTTTTCAGTTCTGTTGTCGAATGGAACGAGAAGAGCATCCGCCGGCAAAAGCAGGGCGGGCGCGGTGGCGCTACACACTTTTCCGGGATTAGGTTTACAGCCGCAAGCGCAAGTGTTGCAGGGGACGACGGATTCGTTGAAGAATGAGGAGAAAGATACGCAACATTTGGGCTTCTGATCATCGCCGGAACGCGTGATATTGCACACCACTTGCCAGCTAGCCACCGCCGCGGTTTCTGAAGGTAGGCCGGTGGGATCAGGGAAGAGAGTGGGGCTCACTCTCACCGGCGGCCCGCACACGTAACCTTCGCCGCTAGAACTGCCGTTGATTTTCCAGTTCTGCGGAGGAGTAAGCTCGCTTATGTTAAGGTATGGCGGCATTTTGTAAACCTGCATTACAAAAGCTGATTTCGACATGGCTGCATCCATGGCCGGCGGCAAGATGGTTCCATTGCGACAGCAGAAAGGAACCAATCCAACGTTGGTGTCGTTGGTCTTTGCAAGAGGGAGATCAATGATTGTCGGCTTTCTTTCACAGTTCAAAGCCTTGGAAAAATCAAGACCCTGGTAAAATTCGCCTTGCTTACCAAAAATGCAGTCTGATGTATCCACCACCAAAGGATACGCACCTCTCATGGCGTTGATGAACTCTTCCCTCATCCATTCCCAGCTCAAATGCCAATTGTCCAGACGCTTAATGGGGTTGTGATTCGATATGGTGATCTGCGCCCAGTAATTAGACTCGTATGAGCTGGTCACATCGTACATTATAGTAAGATCACCCTCCTGCCGAGGTAGAAATTCCACTTCATCTCTCGTCGTGTTTGTCTTTGCGTTTGGGTCTTTTGTGCAGCAAACATGAGTGTCATTTTTCCCTGCCCCACAACAAACAACATAATTACCATTTTATTTGACAAAAGAATAGTAAATCGGACATACAAAATGAGACAGAAGGAGTATATGTTTGGAGATAATTCAACGGCCTAATGGATTTCTTGATTTGAATCAGTCAGTTATGAGCAATTAAGGTTGGTTGTTATACCAATTTACCTAGAGATGGTGTTGGAGAACACGAAAAGCCATCATTAACGAGATAAATGGAAGAAGGCATGGGAAAAGCCGGAGGTGCAACGCCAAACTGGGTACCCACCAACTCCACCCTGGCTTGCATCTGATTGAAGTCTCCGGCGGTCTCCACCGCAGTCTTGAGGTTCTCCACGGGGTACCCGGCAAGAGTGGTGCCGTTGCTGACGTCGGCCGGGAAGGAACGCCCGTCACCTAGCACCGCTCTGGGAGCAGATACCAATATTTCCTTGTTCTGGAACCCAACAAAGACCCGCCACGACTTGAGCTCTTCTAGGCCGTTATTGAGGACGATGAGGGTGGACTGGAACCGGTAGGGTTGGTCCTTCCGGTCCGACGGCGAGAGGGTGGGAGGGATAACGAAGCCGGAGTCATAGACGTAAGAAACCAGAACGCCGTTGCAGACGTTGGAAGAAGGTTGAGACGACGTCGTGGGGAGTGAAAGGGCGATCAAGAAGACAGAGATGATAGGAAGAAGAGTAGCCATGGTTGGCTATGCCCTAGCTCTGTGAGCTCGAGGAGGACAACATAAACATACAAAGAGATCAATAACAACGCTTGATATAAAATAGAAGATGATCGATCACAACAGATTCATGTTTGAACTTTTCTGTTTCTTGCGGAAATAATAATGCATGGAAGTTTGTCGCCGGCATTGATTGATTCTTCTACTAATACTAATTACTAATATTAATACTCTGCGTATTTGAAACAATCAATTAAGGTTGATCATACGTGTGTTGAGTGTGTCAAAATCCTATGAAATGTTTTGGTACGGTAGTGGTTGGAAGGATTAGAGAAGAAAGCTAAGCGGTGATAATGACTGAATGGATTAACTAAACGTTTAAAGTTTGGAATTCAATTGAAGAAGACGACCCAGTCCCACTGTCCTACGTAAGGGAGATGGATAATAAAAGACCTCTTCATAATGTGTTTGTGAACGGAGATTACAAAATTTTATTAAGCCGGCCGGTATATGCATACGATCGAGCTGAGGAATCCCTTCCACAAAATGATGAATAATCACTTGTTGTTATATATATCGTGCACCAGGGCACACAATACATTGTGCGTCAAAAAAATCTCATGTTTCGTATGTATATAATTATATAGTAGAATACACATCAACTCCTAACATAATACATAATACATAATACACGTGAACTCTTAAAATAATACACATAACTTTTAGGTGCACAATGCATTCTACGTCTTGGTGTTTTGGTGCACGATATAATTTGCCAGGTTATAATATATGGGTATGTCCAATAGTGCAATATCATTGATCCATATATAGTTTGGGCTAAGCACAATGTCTCAATGATCAGGTATATAGAAAAACAAGATACAAATATACTAGTGATAATAAGAATGTAGAGCTCCAAGCCCACACCCTCATCTCCCTCCATTAATTATTGGAGCTAAAATACTATTAGTTTTATGGCCATAGAAGTCAATGGTCAGCTAAGAACTAACATGTGTAATGGCTTTGAGTATTAAAAATTGTGGACCATTTATAATGCAGTATTCAGGGTATTTATACATATTGAAGCATTGAATGCACTCACTAAATTTAAAAAAAAATTAAATCTCTACAATTTTGTTAATTGATAGCCTAATTAATTGAGTATATATAAACCTGGTAAGATTTTCCCCCCCCAAAATATGGTAAGAAATTATCCTGATTCTTGTTTTAGTATGGCACTTGGTAAAATAATTAGCTTATCAGTCAATTTTGACTTTATTTGACTTGATTAAAAATTCAATATAGGCATTTGATTAATCAATTTTTTGTAACTCCAAAATGCTAAAATTCAAAAAGTTGTTCAAACAACTTTTTTCAATTAGCTTTTTTAGAAAAGAAATTATACCAAACAGTTATCAGCTAATAGCTAATTTATTGAACACCTTTTTACAATCAGCTAATGTTATCAACTAATACGAATTAGCTTATAGTGATTTACCAATCATGGCTGTATATATAGGTTAACCATTGCGGAATCGGGACTGGAAATTGTATAAAAATGAGTTGCGTGGTAGGCACATGCCAGGTAAGACTGTCGCTTCGGCACATGGGGGCTTCATTTCTTTACATCATTATACTATGCTTGCTTTTCATCAAGTACGTACGTAAAGTACAAGCCAATATCATCGTTAACTTGTTGCTCCCCTTCTATTTTTTTCCTCTATACATTTAATCTTTGTTTGATAACCCAAGTTTTGTATTTTTGCTAAATTATATCATTGACTCTGATTTATAAACCCGTTACATAAACTTATGCGAAGAAATTTGATGAGGATTATTCTCCTGGCTAATCTATTTGTACGCATCACACACCTATTCGATACTTGGTCAGCTCCCCAAGAGGAACTATAGTTCCGACCATAACCGACTTTAGAGTTGATCGATCAGACCTACACTGGCGAAACGAGCCTAGTCTTAGCAGCCATTAGTCTTCGACCGCTTGGAAGATCCGCCCCAACCATTTTAGCTCGAAACGAACTGTCTAACCTTCTCCTCCTAGAAAACTAAGTCTTTTCCTCTAGCCCAACTCGTTCACAACGGAAACAAGGGCATCAAGAATCTTAGCACACATGGAGGAATCAACAAAGTCCCCGATCTTCCCGTATGCATGATCACACATGTCATGCATGCCGAGCTTTCAGCATGTGTTCCCTTCACTCCCTATAAATACTCCATTAAATGCTAGAGGGAGGGACTTTTAGCATTTCCTTTAGAACCATTATCAGCTCGGGACCCTTTAACCCACTGTCTCATTTTTTGAGCTCAGTAACTTGAACTAACAAGCACACGAATAGAAGTTTTATATACAATCCGACCTAATAATACATACGTATTTTATAGTTTTGTCTGTATTTACCACTAAACTGGACAATTTTACACACAAAAAGTCTAACCCATACCCAAATTCTAAATATACGTTGCAAAATCAAACATCTATCATGCTAATGAAAGCAAGTCTATACCTTTAATTTGTTAACATTTGAAATTGTGATTTTCAGTTTTTCAATTTTTATGTTTCAAAAAGAAAAAAAAAAATAATAATAATCTTCTTTCACACCAAACGGTTCACTCTGACTCCTTAACATTGCCTGTGTTTTTCACGTGCACACAATTATTTTTTTTTTAAAGAAAAAAAATCTTTAAAACCGAACTATACATACATTGACTATATATAACTTGCAAC